CTGCAAGGAGGTAGGTGCAGCTGAGGGAGGAGGGAGATGTGTAATTACACAGTGACAGTTAGTGGTGAATAAATGAGGCTTTGTTGCACCCTATGTTGAAAGAGGTAAAAGTTGTAAGCGGATGAACTTTTTACAGTGAGGGCCTTGCTGATTTCCAGCTGTAAATACAAGTGCTGTGTAGGTTTCATTGAGTAATTCTCCCGCCTGTGGTTTTCACTCTTCCTGTTGTCCTTTCCGATTCCTCCTCTCTCTGCTTTGTCATCGGCTCATTAACATCGCTAACAAGGCAGGACCTGAAGCATGCTTACCAGTAAAGACCAGATCAGCAGTGTGCCTTAAAGCCTGTTAATATTCTGCATGCTGTTTGTTTCTATGGGAATGTTACCAAGTGCAGGAGTAGAATGAAAGTTGATGTCACCTTAAATAGGCTGCTGTTAAAATGACCACACTACATTAGTAATGACTGGAAACAGTACTTAAATGCAGCGAGTCTGCCCAGGCCATTGTGGGCATAGGGGATGCTCAGATGAGAAAGGACCAGGGCAGTGGGAGGAGTGGACTATGAGTAGGGGAGAGAAAAACTGCCCAGCAACATGGATGGGCCAGTTAAAATTAGATACAAACACTGGGTATGGTGGCTCAGGCCTTTAATCTCAGCACTTGGGTGGCAGAGACAGGCAGATCTCTGTGAGTTCGAGGCCAGCCTGGTCTACATAATGAGTTCCAGGCCAGCTGGAGTTACAGGGAGACCCTGTCTCAAAAAGATCAAAAAAAAAAAAAAAAAAAGGATACACACTTAGTGATTCTAATTTGCTATAATGAGGCTTGTTATCTCATTGTCCTGAACAGCCTGACTGCAGGCAGGGAGGTCAGCAGTGTGTGGGTCATCTGTGGTCTGCAGGCAGGGTGGGCCTGAGACAAACCCCGAGGAGCACGGAGTCAGGCCAGGGCATCTCTGGAATGAGGGATCAGAGTGTTTCTATGCCAGGGTTTCTGAGAGGAGTGTGTTTTTTTCTTATGGGGATTAGCATGTTTGTCTGAGGCAAAAACCTGAGCCAGTAATTTGTAAAGAAATACATGGACTGTGGAAGCTTATGTATAATGTGACAGAACTTCCAAAATTCACAGTTCCAAATAAGATACAGACATACTACTACTTTCATATGTCAGGGGAGAGTTTGTCTGTCAGAATCTCCATTGTCGTAATCTTGGTAAAATGCCTGTTATGTGGGCCAAACCCCCACACTGCGTTTTCATTCTTTCTGACTGAAAGGAACTGGGAGCTTCAACTGTTTTTGTTGTTGTTGTTTTGTTTCAAATGAACTCTGATGTGGTTAGTTGAGTGAAAAAGTGTGTAATTTAAAAATTCTAAGATAGTGGTATGATTTTGACTTTGAGTAGTGATTTGACACTGTTCTGGTTGCTTCTCTGTTGCTGTGATAAAGCACTGACCAAAAGCAACTTGGAGAGGAGAGAGTTTATTTCAGCTTACAACCCAGGTCTCAGGCTGTCACTGAGTGAAGTCAGGCAGGAACCTGGAGGTGGGAGCTGTAGCTGAGACCGTGGAGCATGCAGATTTGCTGCCTCACTCCCCTTTGGCTTGCTCATCTAGTCTACTTACACAACCCAGGATCACCTGCCCAGGGGTGGAACCTCCCACAGCGGGCAGAGTCCTCCTACAGCAGTTAGGAATCAAGAAAAATGCCTCCAGGTGACTGTGATGGGGGTAATAGCCCAGCTGAGGTCCCTCCTCTCAGGTGTGTCGAGTTGACGTTTGAGATTAGCTGTCATGGACCCCACAAGATTTGTTTCCTGGCTACATGTTGATGAGGCAAAGGGCCTCATGTGGGCATTGGATGATGGCACTGTCTTCAAACCAGAACATTTCTGATCTTTAGAAGTAACTGATTATGAAGCCCTGGATCCTGACTGACTTTTGATGCATTCACAGGGTGATTTTTATTTATCTATTTTAAAATATTTTATTCACAGGGTGATTTTATTTATTTTTAAATATTTTATTCATTATTTTTATTTTATGTGTATGAGTGTATTGCCTGCATGTGTGTAAGTGCACCCCTGTAGTGTAATGCCCAAGGAGGTCAAAAGAAGGTACTGGATCCCCTGGAACTGGAGTTATAGACAGTTGTTAGCTGCCATGCGGGTGCTGGCAATTGAACCCAGGTCCTCTGCAAGAGCAGCCAGTGCTCTTAACCACCGAGTCATCTCTCCAGCCTCTCACAGGGTGATTTTAAAACTCTCTGAGAATCACCACTGGTGGGTAGAGAGTATGTGATCTTTGATTTAGACCCACTCCCCTGGCTGGCCTGGACATCAAGCCTACTATATAACCAGGACAGCTGGCATTTAATTCAAGTAACCTCTTGTGAGCATGCCAAGTACCAGATCCTGAGACAGGAATACACCTTGTCCTTGTGTACCAAGTTACTTTGGAGCTGCCCACAGTGATGGCTCCACTGTTTCTAAGATTGACAGACTCTGTGATACTGTCTTGCTGACCAGGATCCACCCAGGTTGGGTATTAGAGGGATAAGTCTCCTCCTTGACCAACTCACATCCCGGGTAGGTGGTTGGTCCTGTGGAATCATTTGTGTGAACAAATCCAACCTTAGGACCAGTGGTGCCCACTCTGTTTCCTGAGGGAAGCTCATTTATCACTGTCCTTGGTAGGTCGGGGATGGATTGAGATGTGTCTTCAGGTGGTGATTCATAAGCTGAATACCCATCTTTCATTCACACTTTTCAGGTTGTGAGTACTAGTTTACCTCTTACAGGCAGTGGCTAGTTTAGTGCTGGAGTCTTGCCCCTTTCAGCTGCTCAGTGAAATGCTTTTGCTCTGTGAATGTCACACTTCTCAGTGCAAACTATGTTAATGAATCTTAGTGGTTTCTCTGTACTAATCTGTGTGTAGCCTTGTGTGTACAGGTAGAGGCCAGAGGGTGACACGGGGTGCTTCTCCAGTGTGGCTTTCCAGGCAGAGTGTGTCTCTGAACCTGGAGCTCACCATTTTAGCTAGGCTAGTTGGTCAGTAAGCCCTGGGGATCCTCCTGCTTCTGCTCTGCCCCTGACCACTGCCCCCAGTGCTGGAGTTCCAGTGTGCTCTGCCCTGCTTATGTGGGTGCTGGGGATCAGCATTCAGGTTCTAGTGCTCACACAACAAGCACTTTTCCTGCTGAGCATCTCCTCAGCCCTAAAGCAGACCTTCATGTTTGTTTGTTTTTACATATATGTTTAGAGGTCAGAGGACAGCTTGTGACAGTTGGTTTTGTTTTTCTTTTGGTCTTTCTGAGACAGGGTCTCCCTGTAGCCCCAACTGGCCTGGAACTCACTATGTAGACCAAGCTGGCTTTGATCTCACAGAGATCTGTCTGCCTCTGCCTCCCAAGGGCTGGGACTAAAGGCGTGTACCACCATGCCTTGTTATCACATGGGTTCTGGGGATCAATCTGAGGTTGTCAGGCTTGGCGATAACACAGTCCACTGATCTATTTTGCTAGCCCTAGAGCAGACTAAGAGGAGTCAGAAAAAGCATTTCTGGAGTTACAAAATGGGGTCACAGAGGGTATAGCTAAAATCAGTAATAAACAAGAAGCAGGGCATTAAGAGTTTTAAAGTTTATGGCGACGAAGCATCATTTAAAAATTTATTTTTAATTGGGGATTCGTGTATGTCTGAATATATGTGCACATGAGTGCAGGTGTCCTCAGAGGCCAAAAAGGGTGTTGGATGCCTCCAAGCAGGAGTTACAAGTGCTTCTAAGCTGCCCAGTGTGAGCTGGGAGCTGAAGTTGGTTCCCCAGGGGCAGTGTGTGTTTCTGACCACAGCCTTCTCCCCAGCTTCAGAAGCTTCATTTTAAAAATTGAGAAATACTGGCTTAGTTCCAGTGCGTGAGGTGATAAGAAATTCAAATAATTTGATGTTAGTTCCTTTTAGAGCAGTTAATGACTCTTTTTTTCATTTTTGAATAGCAGTTCTCCTTAGGTTCATTGTAACACAGTAGCTTTAAAATCTCAGTGGATATATTAAAGGCCAACTGCGAAATGAAGCCGTTCCCTCTCTCCGGAGTCCTCCTGCTGCGTTTAGTTCTTGGAAAATGCCCTTGGTTTGGTTTGTTTTTTTTGTGGTACTAGATACCGAACCTAGGGCCTCACATTCTGGGGAAGGGCTCTGCCACCAAGCTATATACATACCGTAGCCCAAATTTAAGTTGTTTTTATCCAAAGCAATCAACTGTATGTTGCTTCTCGTAGTAATTTGATTTCACATTTTTCTGTTATCTCAGAGGTTGCTGATTTTCTGTTATGGTACAAATTGAATTTCTTTCTTTTTTTTTTTTATTTTTGAAGAAAAGCAGCTTCATAGCTGTAGCTTATGGTTGTGTTAAATAGATGGCAAAGAATAGCATCTTTGAGAAGATAAATGTCATGGATGTCCAAAGTCGACATTTAGTCTTTTGGATTAATAGGAAAGAAGGTCGGCAACCGCATGGATTCCAGTAAGCCTCAGACCCACGTTCTTACGTGTTCTAACAATGTTGGAACGTGGCTTAATCTCTTGATGCGGCATTTTGATACTTGACTGTTTCATTATGGAAGGATCACTTATTTTGTAGCATGACATTCACATGTGTGTATATGTGTGTGGATATTTATATATCCTATTTGTTTGCTTGTTTTGATTTTGAGACATGTAGCCCCAGCTGACCTGGAGTTTGCTATGTGGACCAAGCTGGCCTCACACTCACAGAGATCAGCCTGCCTCTGCCTTCCCAGTGCTGGGATTAAAGGAGTACGTCACCATGCCTGACTAGATAGTTATATATCTATATACACATGCATATATTTAGAGTGAGTGGGAGATGGTAGAAGTAGGTTGACCATAGGAAAGAGTCAAGAGGAAAGCTTGGAATCATGTATATATTTCTGAAAACTACAGCATATTTTTCATTTTTTACTCTGTTTTCCATCATCATTCTTTAGGGTCCTCCAGAATTTCCACAGCATACACCCGGACCTGTTCCTAACAGTTTTAGCCAGCCGCCACGACTTCCTCTCCAGGACCAGTGGAGAGCCCCTCCCCCACCTCAGGATCGAGACCCTTTCTTCTTGGGAGGTACATGAAGGGATGGTGGGCACGGATGAGGTGATGGAAGCCTCAGCGAGTAGTGGCCTGTGCAGCTACTGTTAAAACACGAGGTTGGTCAGCTTCGTGACACCATGACTCTGCCAGGCATTTGATGTGCTAAAGTGGGTTGATATCCAAAATGTGGAAGTTTTATACAGAGCAATTCGTTTATAGAAAAATTCCTACAAAGCCATAGCTGAAATCTGGAATTCTTTATAAAATACTCTGCTAACATTTGGGGACAGTAAGATGGCTCCTGAAAGTGCTTGTCTAAGAACTGTGGTCTTTCTAACTTGAAGCTAATGTTGTGTCACTCTTCAGTTTCAGGTGAACCAAGGTTCCCTAGTCATCTTTTCTTGGAACAGCGAAGTCCCCCTCCACCACCACCACCCCCCACACTTCTGAACAGCAGCCATCCTGTTCCTGCTCAGAGCCCCTTACCGTTCACTCAGCCTGGACCAGCATTTAATCAGCAGGGACAGCAGCCAGTGTTTCCGAGAGAGAGGCCTGTAAGACCAGCCCTGCAGCCCCCAGGTCCAGTGGGGATCCTGCACTTCAGCCAGCCAGGGTCAGCAACAGCCCGGCCTTTCATTCCTCCTAGACAGCCGTTCCTGCCCAGCCCTGGACAGCCGTTCCTGCCCACACATGCACAGCCCAACCTGCAGGTATGCACGTGAGCCAGCCCTGAGGGAAACCCTGTCCGGGCAGTGCTGAACCTCTGTGTTCAAGAGCACAAAGGGGAAACTTGGTGTTGTAGTCAGCCTGCTGATTGATGAGGAGTGGTTTAAGGGTTCTATCACAAGGAGCTCTCTTGACAGTTTTATGGAAAAGGTGATGCTTGTTTTCTGGGAGATGAAGAAATGTCACTCCTGGAATTTTAAAGGGGTATACACTAATAAAATAAGAATATGTTTCGATAATGCATTTGCTTATCTTGTAAGTTGTCTTTAAAGGTTCGCCAGTGTAGATAAAGTGCTTTGCCCACTGTTCCTGTTGGACGAGGAAAGGGCCCTTGTGGGGAGGAAAAAGCAGTTTAGCTGTTCACTGTGCGCCCTCTGCTGGAAGTGCATTTCCTGAGCCAACGCAGGAATTTGTGCAGTCTTTCCCACCCAGTATTTCTTTATATTTTCTTTAACTTTGAGGAAATACAGTGATTGAGTAGGGTGTGTGGTTGGCCTGTGCCTTTAATCCCAACACTTGGGAGACACTCTCAGAAGAATTTAGATAGATAGATAGACAGACACTTGTTAACTATTTTAGAGACCTGTAGAATCCAAGAGTGCGTCTGGGGCCAGCAGGATGACCTACCCTGTAAAGGCACCTGCTGCTGGGCCTAATGTGTCTAAGATAAAAAAAGAAAATTATTATTTGTAGGGTTCATAAAGGATTAAATGCTTGAATTTTTTCTTTCCAAAAAATAAAATTAATTTCTTCTGCATTGCAGAAATAAAATATAAATGAGTTTATGGAACTGAAGTAATTCCGTTACCACGTGACAGCTGCATGAACTGGGGCCCTTCGTCTGTCTTGCAGCAGTGTCCGTCCCAGAGCTCCTTTGCTTGGGCAGTGTCCTGTGGGCTTCCCAGGCCCTGGGCTGTCTTCACCATTTGAGCAACCTTCTGAAGGTTGCCTGTGTGTTAGTTTCTGTATCCAGTGTCACAGTGCCCTAGGGCATATAAGATGGTGACTGTTGGCCTATTACTGCATTTAAGATGTGTTACCTGTCAGTAAGTCTGAAGTGAAGGCATGGTTCCACATGAAGCTTCTTCTTATGTTGAAATTTTAAGAAAACTGTTAAGTTGAAGTCTGTCTGTAAGCTGTTGTTTTCCTTTCTTTTGGAACATAAGGGGCCCTTGCATCCTCCTTTGCCACCACCTCATCAGCCACAGCCACAGCCTCAGCAGCCTCAGCAGCAGCCCCAGCATCACCAGCATCAGCCGCCCCTCCAGCCGCCTCTCCAGCCTCCACACCAGCCTCCCCCCCAGCATCAGCCTCCCCCTCAGCACCAGCCACAGCAGCATCAGCATCACCACCACCTATCTGCTCCTCCTCCTCCTCTGATGCCCATGTCTCAGCCACAGTTCAGGCCACACGTACAGACTGCTCAGCCTCAGCCCAGCAGCAGCCGGATGCAGTGCACTTCACGCCAGGGGCTGCGGCATGTGAGTGTCCATGCCTTTGTTGTGATTTCCTGGGGTGTTACAGAATTGGAAGGACATAATTTCTGTTACGTTATTTTCTAGTTTTGTTTAAAATTACTAAACATGTCGTACATTTTCTGAAGTAAAACCATTCTTTTTAATACTTAGAAAAAAAATTAAACTGTAGACATCTTTTTTGTACCTTAAAGGCTATGTTAATGTTCACTTCTTTAATTCTCTGATGATTAGAACGTGCTGTTGGATGGCAGTCACTCTGCCAGGCAGGTGGCTTATGAGTGAGTGATTCAGGAAAAGTGCCCTGTTCCCGGGCACCCCTCAGGTTCCTGGAATACAGCAAAGAACAAAAAAGATCTCTGATTTCAAAGAGCTTACACGTGGTTGTGAGAAGTTAACTTATATTTGTGTTTACACACTATCAGCAAGTGTGTGGCTTGTCATGTATTGAAAGAAACTGGAAAATAATAGATTGCTGATGAAAATAAAATGGAGACATCACCTTGTCCTCCATTAGCACTTGATCACCTTGTCCTCCATTAGCACTTGACCGATCTTCTTTTCAGGACAAAGCATAGTGTGGCCTACAGAGTTCTTATCTGTAGACTTTCCTTTTAGTACTCTCCTCCTTTATTTAACCTTAAACTTTGAATGTGTCACTTAGCTATTTTGAACCTTGATTTTCTTAATATCTGCCTCTTTGTGTTGTAAATAATGTGACTCAAAGCTGTAAGCAATGAAGAGCTTTCTAGGTAGAGAGGCATTGTGCACATTGGGTAACCTGGGCTTGTTGTCAAGGTAATGGCAGGGTCAGACACCCAGTGTCCCAGCCACCTCTGATCTCTTGACTGATTCTTCCTCTGCATCCCCAGGATGGAAGTAACTGAGACTCTTCCCCATGGGGCACGTCTGTGGTCCCTTCTCTTCCAGAGAGCTTTTTGTAAGATTGTAACAGTGTTTGGGTCTTGGTTCCATTTTAAATGGAAATGGTGTACCGTTGATCCAGTTGGCTCCTTGAATCGGGAAGAGTAGTTTTTGGTTTTTGTTTTGTTCTGTTTTGGCTCTCAGAGTTGTTAAAAATGTTAGTCTGTATATTGAAAAATCACCTGGTGTGCCTTTCATAGCCAGGAGCCTATGCCCTGGTCCTCAGCATTGGAGGGTGGGAGTTGGGGAGCAGCATTTATGTATAAAAAGTACTTGCCAAAGAGAAAGACAGGCATCCACTTGACAAAAGAGAAGTTAGTTCTCATGGTAGTGAATGCTCATGATGTCTTCACTGATGAACTTTTGCTTCCTTTTGTGATAGAATGCAGCATCTCAGAACATAACCAAACGACCCATGCAGCAGATGCAGCCCACTGCTCCCAGAAACAGTAATTTACGTGAACTCCCCATAGCACCTTCGCATGTCATGGAGATGAAAAGCAGTCGTTGCTCCTCTACGCCTGCCGCTCAGGTGAAGCCAGTTGTCAGCACCTCCCCACCCTGCAGGGCTGTGGTGGCTTCCAGGAGCCCACAGGGGAAGACGGATGCAAAAGTCACACCACCCAGCCCTGGGGCTCAACCTAAGGAAGAAGCAAAAGTCGAACCAGAGGTAGGATCTCACCTTACTGCAGAGTGCCTGCCTGGGGCAGGGGCTTTACTGCCCACCTCTTCTGTACTGGAGAGTGTTAACCTGGAGTGGGAGGCTCACTGCCACGTATGAACCAGCACTCAGCTCATTCATCCGGAGAGTCACAGACTCTTCCCACTTTTTTCCCCAAATGGATTCTTCTTTTTAGCCTCATAGCCATTTTCATAAAAGATAATCGTTTGGGGGCTGGAGACATGGCTCAGTGGTTGAGAGCCCTGTCTATTCTTGTAGAGGACCCAGGTTTGAGTCCCAGCACCCACATGGCAGTTGGCAACTATCTGTGGCTCTAGTTCCAGGGATTTGATGCTCTCTTCTGTCCTCCTCGGGCACTGCACAGCATGGGTGCACTTACATGCATGGAGGCAAAGCCACTCATAAGATAAAAATTAAAAAGAAAAAATACTTGTACCATTGGGGATGTAACTCAGTGGCAGAGTGCTTGACCAACATGCACGATGACCTTCCAGGTTCAGTCCCTCGTGTTGACAAACAAAAAGACTCTAACAGTCACTAGAGAGTATTAAATTTTATTACAGTTTACGCCTGGGCAATTCATAGACAGTGTCCATGTGTGACCAGTTCTGGTGCTTGGTAATAGTCTCAGACCTGTGCAAAATAAGCTTCTTTGATGAGTGGTGACTGGGGTGTTTGTCTGTAAATATAAGAATACATCTTTTGCGCATAGTAAGAAATTACATTTGTCTAGGGATGTGACAGTCTTGGGGCTTTCTCTCAAGATCTATGACCTCTCCAGCCATGTGTATTTGGTTATGTTTTTTACACTTGAGTTTCCTCCTGTTGAGTAGGCTTTTAGTCCAATTAGGTAGCTGTTGATTGCCCCCAAGATAAAAGTGCTACTACTGCACCAATGACGTATGCTTTGAGGGTCATTGATGTGGTTATTTGGTCTTGAAGCTGGTTGTTGGACCATCCTTGGCACCTTTATAGTGCTCTCCAAAGCTATGAGAGCTCGCCTTCAGGGAAAGTGGTTTCGGGTCAGTTCTAGCTCTATTGTTCAAATCCTGTATCTAAAGTATTTCCTGTCTTCAGCAGTAGGGTCTTGCCTTCAAGTTCTGGGAGGCCATCAAGGACTGTGGCAATAGCCTGAGTAATTTTGGGAGTCTCTTGGACCACCCTGGCCAACAACTCATGGAAGGTTTCTCCTGACTGGCACTGTTTCTTGTTATGTAGCCTTTAGCTACGTATGTGGATTCATGTAGCGATACTGTATGTGTAATTTATCATTCATTAGGTTGTTGGACTAATATGATTCCCTCTGTTTTTTTTTTAAAACTCGCTAGCTAGGCATTATTTATTCCCCTCCCCCAGCCCTCCTGCCATGGTTTCCCCATTTAAAGTGTCCCCGTTTTCCCCATTTCTCCCTTGATGCTACCAGTCTCCTATGGTCCCACCTCTCTTGGGCACCTCCTTTCCCTTTATCCCCAAGTTTCATTGTATAACACTCCCTCCCCTGTCCCATTTAAATAACTCCATTTTTATCCATTTCTCCCTTAGTAACATCTGTCTCCTACTGTTCTCTCTCGGGTTCCTTATTTCCCTTTACCTCCCTGGTTCCTTTTCATTATTCTGGTTCTTGAAGTTATATCTGGATCCATACTCAACCTCTACACATAAGGTGCATGGAACATAGAACAGGGGTAATAAAGATGACACTAATGGATATCTCAATTCTCATTAATGAAGATCCCTCATGCAACAGAGGGCCAGGAACACAAAAGGTCACAAATGGCCAAAATGTAGAAGAGATTAAGAGTCAGCAGATTGCTGGTCCTTGGACAGGAAAGTTCACCCACCCAGGGATCAGGGACCATTGTGGAAGAGGGGGCAGAAAGATTGTAAGAGTCAGGGAGGAAGTGCAGGACCATATGGAAAGAGAGTCCTACAAGCTCCTGGGCGCCTGCTCATATGATTCTATGGCAATGGTGTCGGCATACACAAGTCCTATGCAAACTTAGGGAGACAAAAACCCAGCATAGAACTGGGGAAATGATCAGCAGACCCCAATCTTAGCTGAGGAAACACTGGCAACTGACTGCTGCTGGGTGAGGAAGAGCCGATCTTCCCAAAACCAGGGACTCCTAGATAGGCTGACTAGACCTCAGTGGATGGACCTGCACTGGGGAACACTGACTTGACACAGTGGGCCTTAACACAGATGACAGTGGGGGTGGTGGCTATGAGGAGGGTGCCAATGGGGATGGGGGTATAAAGATGATTAAGACTACTTCAGATATTCTATATAAAATACACAAATTCAATAAAAACAAAAGAAATTTATTAGTTTACATTTTAAGTTTACATATTAAACTTTTGTATATGTGTACAGTTATTTTTGCATTATATAGAATCAACATGGACCCAGGTTTAGCAGATGTTTTAGACTTTATAATTCAAGCCATCATAATTAGCTTTACCACTGTGGCACAAGGCAGTTTATGAACAGTTCTCACATGAATAGATGTGCCTGAGTTCAAGAAAACTTTACTTAAAAACCCAGGTGGTTCTCTAACCTCACTTGTATTTGGTAATTTAGAAAGGTGCAAAAATTTCCAAGTACAAGCGGTAAGTGTCGACCAGCATTTCACAGTTTCTAGTTTGAAGTCCTCACCCTGACATGCCTCAGCCTTTCTGCCTTTTCAAGTGAGGCTAAAACACAGTAAGGCATGTGCTGGAGCCAGTCAGGACGAGGACGCACTTAACGCCAGGAGCAACTTCCTCTTGAGTGTACTAGAGCAGTGCAGGGAGAGGTGGCAGGAAGCATTTCCCTCAGTGCTCAGGCAGGTCGTCCTTTAGCTTTATAAAACCACTTAACACTGCTTTTGTCTTTTTTATTTTAGATTTTAAAAAAATTTTGTGTCTGCGTGTGTGTGCGTGCGTGCGTGCGTGCGTGTGTGTGGGGGGGGGGTATTGCCTGCATGTGTGTAAGTGTACCCGTGTCTTACAGTGCCTGTGGAGGTCAGAAGAGGGCATCAGATCCCTTAGGACTAGAGTTAAAGATGGTTGTTAGCTGCCATGTACGTGCTGGGAATTGAACCCAGGTCCTCTGCAAGAGCAGCCAGTGCTCTTAATCACTAAGCCATCTCTACAGCTGGTCTTTCTCTTTTAATTAGACTTTTTCGTTCAGGATTTTCTTCCAATAAAACTGTAGCAGTTGTAGCCGGCCATGGTGGCGCACACCTTTAATCCCAGTACTTGGGAGGCAGAGGCAGGCAGATCTTCGTGATTTTGAGGCCAGCCTGGTCTACATGGTGAGTTCCAGGACAGCTGGGGCTACAGGGACACCCTGTCTCAAAAAGAAAAAAAAACAAAACAACAAAAAAAAAACAAAACTGTAGCAGTTGCAATGTTATCATACCAGAATTACAAAGTCAGAGTACTGGGATGCCATTTAATAAGCTGCTCTTAGAAGGGTGACTGGTTTCATGATCAGTACATGGGAAAACAGTGTGAGTTTAGAAACTGGATGGGGTGGTTTATAAAGAATTCTTTGCAAGCTGGGCTTTGGGCTGCACACCCAAAGGACTGAGTGTAGCAAGAGAGTCACTAGTTCATGGCCAGTCATCAGAATAAACAAGTGATTTAAAAAAAAAAAGGTCTAGGCATGGTGGCACACAGCTTTAATCCCAGAACTTCTGAGGCAGAGAGGTAGGCAGATCTCTGTGAGATCAAGGCCAGCCTGGTTTACATAGTGAGTTCCAGAACAGCCTGGTCTACAGGGAGGCTCTGTCTCAAAAAGACCCCCCCCCAAAAAAAATTAAAGTTTATAAGAAAATAAAAGGACTGTGGACCTAGCTGAGTAGTAGAGCATTTGCCTGGCATTCACTGGGCTCTATGTACAATCTCCAGCACCCCCCCGCCCCAAATTTTTTGCTAAAAATTTAATGATGTCTTTGGTTTCTATAGCTCGCTTAGAACTTGTATATGTGATCAAATTTGGTTCCCATGCACATTTCCTGTGTAATAGCAGTGTCTAAACCATACATGGAGAGGGACCTCAAAGCCATGTTTGCTCCTCTTGTACCAGTTTATAGAGTTCTCAAGCATTCTTCTGCAGGTTTACTACAAAGAGATAATTTATGAAAGTGAGATGGAGCTTCTTTGAGTTGCCATGGTATGATAAGTTTTTGTATATATTACATTGACAGAGGATTATGCTTTTTTTTTAAACACAAAAAGTAACATCTGTTTTTGTTAAAGGCAGCATATTGACATAGATTCATCTACTTGGTAATGATACAATAAAAGATGAGTCTTTTATTGATAAATTATCTATATTTGTGAGCATACTTTAAACCCTGTCTTGACTACTTGCCCTGTGATAGGAAGTGGTGTGTCTGGGCTCCTGTTTTGTGAGGCCACAGTCTGCTCCTCTGAGTTGCTCTGAGCTGCTGTTGACCACCTGCTTCTCACTCAGTTTTCATTACCACAGTAGCAGTGTGCCACTCATCTGCCCGCAGATTTTGTTTGAAGCCTGTCATACAAGAGGCAGGTCAGGCTTGCCTCTAGCTGAGCCCAGACCTGTAGAGCACTGAGGCTGCCACAGCTCCAGCAGCACTCTTTTCTTGGGTTCCTAATTCTTCAGTTTGTGCAAGATGGGTAAGGTTTATAATTAGATGAATTCTATTTTTTTAATTTTATTTATTTAGTTTTAAATTTTATGTGTATGAGTGTATTGCCTGCATGTATGTGAGTGCACCCATGTCGTGCAATGCCTCGGAGGTCAGAAGAGGGCATCGGATTCCCCTGGAACTGGAGTTGAGGACAGTTTGTAGCCGTCATGTGGGTGCTGGGAATAGAACCCGGGTCCTCTGCAAGAGCAGTCAGTGCTCTTAACTGCTGAGCCATCTCTCCAGCACGATTAGACGAATTCTAAACAGACTTAATTCTTCTGTAAAGGATATGTGGATAGATGGTTTTTATAGAATGCTTTTTTAAAAAAATTTGCAAACTTACTCATCGGATGCTTTTTATGAAACGTACTGGACCTGAAAGAATTTCTTACAGCCTTTAGAGTGGTCTGGGTCTGGGCTGTTCAAGGCAGCCCTCTCACCATTAATATTCCAACGCTGCAATTGGCAGCATTTTGATTCTGAGGAGGGTGCATGAGTTCAAGGTCAGAAAGATTGACTTGTGCTGTTCATTATAACCAATTATCCTGTGACAAATGAGTTTGAGATCAGGCTGAAAATTCTGTATGGAAAATCAATAGTTCTAATCAGGGCCTTTCAGGTCATTTACACTCCACCTTTTGTTGGTTTGTCAGTGAACAGTCAGATAAAACCTGTGTGACAGTGTGGCCTCGGCTGCAGCCATTCCCATTCAGAACATATTTTGATATTTTCTATGAATAGTTTAATTGGTTTCAAATTTGTAAATGAGTAGAAATGTACATTATTTCATTTATAATGTTCTGATAAGGTTTTCCAAATTAGCTGAAGCTGTGTAATTTCCCCTCCCTAGAGGGTGGGGTCATACTTAGTCTTGGAGCAGGTCTTTGCCTTCTTACAAGTTCTAAATTGAAAGGTTTGGGGGAAATTCATTTGCTTACTTTGTAGAAGTAGATCAGCATGGTCGCCCTGCTGTGTAAATCAAAGTGAACTGTGTTTTCCATTGTAGTTTCCTGACGAAGATGAAGAAACAAGGTTATATCGCTTAAAGATCGAGGAGCAGAAGCGCCTGAGAGAGGAGATCCTGAAGCAGAAGGAGCTGCGGCGGCAGCAGCAGGCCGGGGCCAGGAAGAAGGAACTGCTAGAAAGACTTGCGCAGCAGCAGCAGCAGCAGCAGCAGCAGCAACAGCAACAGCAACAGCAACAGCAACAGCTGCTCTATGGCCCACAGGCCTCCTTGGAGCAAGAGGACCTGGCAGCTACACCGTCCCCCACCAACGGAAGCCCACTATTGCCCTTTCCAGGGGTCCAGTGCAGGCAGAATGTGAAAACCAGACTTCTTGTTAAAAACCAGGATGTCACCGTTGTGAATGTTCAGCCCAAAACATTAAACTTTGTCCCATCTGGTGCTAACATGCAGTATCAAGGGCAGCACATGAAACCACTGAAGCATTTGAGACAGGCCAGAACTGTACCTCAGAGTCAGTCTCCGCTGCCACACAAAGTCCTCCAAGTCAAACCTGTGGATGTGGAGGAGGCCCCTGACTCCCCACAGGCGGCCAGAGCACCATCCCTCCAGGGCCGGCCTCAGGACACCAAGCCTGGTGTGAAGAGGACTGTCATGCACCGGGTCAACAGTGGAGGTGGCGGAGATGGGCCACATGTCGGCTCCAAGGTCAGGGTGATTAAGTTGTCAGGAGGGGTAAGTTGATAAGTTTCATGAATTCCTCTGTAAATCTGCCTTGGAGGTTTCAGTGTACACACTTCTGTAGCACCCTCCTGCCCTGTGGAATCGGCCAGAGCAGCCTTTCCCTCCAGAGGCTGGTGTGAGCTGTCATTGGAGCTCTCCTTCCCTCTGGGACCCATAGTATTGTTTCTGGAGTGTTGGGAAATGACCAGTGTGACACCCCCAGATTGACCTTCTTTTGTAAGTCCTTGATGGTCATATTGTAATAAACATTTGTCATGACATCTGACAAACTCAGGTTTGTTGTAGAAATAAAATTTCCTTTACACAGTCATTGTGTATAGCTTTAGGTTTAGTGAGCAGCGTGGACAGAGTGGATGGGTGCACATGTGCATATGTCCCCACTTTGAAGCAGCGTTGTCCAGAGACCACTACCTGTTACCTCTTTTCAAGACCATTCCTCTCTTATTTTAAAGTGGCATAACAGAAGTCTGAGTGGAGGTCATGGGTCATTTCACCCACATGGTTTCAAAGATGGCGCATTCCTTTCCCAGCATTCCAGTGAGGCACAGGGATCACAGCTCTCAGTTCAGTCAGGATGAGTTTAGTGCTCTTAGAAACAGTGATTCACTGCAGGTAGGTGCCCATTAAAGAAAAGTCTCCTGTGGAGAGGGGCACTGGGTACCTGCTTCCTTATATAACCTTAACTATGGCAAGTCACTTGTATCTCTTGATTTAATTGCAATGAATTCTGTAGTAAATGCTGTGGTCCTGGCATTGTTGAACTCTGTAGCGGTGGTTTTACCTTGTGAACTGAGGGAGGCAGAACCCTTGGCACGTGGGCTGTTAGAGTAGACCACCTGGGAGTGCTTGCCTCAAGGTAACAAAGTCTGCCCTTGAAGAGAAAGCGACCCTGTAGCTTTGAACCTGTGAGGAACACAGTGCCCCAGGAATGAGAGACCTGTGGTTTGCTGATCCGGTTAGCTGAGTGCTTGTAGCACAAAGTAGGATTTCCAAGTGGTCTAAGGAAGTTTTTATACAATAATGCCTATTTGATGTCATATGTGGGATGGACGCTCAGTAAGGTCCATCATTTTGTTTTCTCTGAAACTTTTTCTCTCATATTTGTGATGCAGATGCCGAGCAGATGAGCTACATTACATGTAATGTGTGATGCTGTCTTCAGTTAGTGGCACAATAAATGCTAGGTCCACAGTGACTGAGTGTTCTTAGCCTTGGGCCTTGTTTTCAAACCTAGTATTAGTCTGTCTCATTTACATTTGAGTTGAAAGCCCAGGAGGAGACAGCCCTGCTGAACATAGACCTTCCCATCTGCCCCACTGGAACCACCTCAAAGCAGTGGTGGGAACAGCCCCATGCACCTTTCTTGCCCCTAGAGGTTGGCAGCGAGGGAGGGCTGTATCTACGCCAAAGAGTATCGTTTAAACATCTTTCCTTTAAAAAAAAAAATCTGTGTAAACTGTTCTGTCTTCTCCATTGTGAAAACAAAACCAAATTCTGTCTAATAGACTTCTGTGCAGCCATACTCCAGGTCATGCTGCCTCATTTTACAGCACTGGAATCTTCCACGCAAGTAGCTGTCAGTCATGTGCTTTGGAGTAGGTTTCGATTGTCTTTGTGACCCTTGAGTGTGACCATCATGTCTGAGTCTTAGAATTTTCCAGCAGCTCCTCCAGTGGCATCTTGTCAACTTTATTATGTGTCACTGAGGGGTTCACTTTTATCTGGGTGAATAGTCTTTCTCTAATACCCCCCCCCCCAGGATAAGAAATATTTTTGAAAGCCATTCATAGTTATGGTTTGTTGCAAGTTGTGCTTGATAGAGGCAATGCAAAAATGAAAGAGTCATGTCAAGTGTCAGGTGCACTCACCTTTGTCCTTGACCTTTGTCCTTGGCCTAAGCTGCTGGTGGATACCTGTCAGGGTTATCCTCTGCCCTTGTTGGCATGTTAGGGCTCAGTCTGTTCTCTGCCTGTGAGAATCTTAGGTTCTAGTCCACACTGAGCCAGGCATCCCAGGTGGGCCCCTGGAGGTTTGGGGAGGACAAGCTTGCAACACAGTCCTGTATGGGTTGTTAGTATGTCTGGTTTTCCATTTACTTATCTAATTACAGCATGTCACTCCTTCCTTTGATAGGAGCTCCTGACTTCTGATAGGGTAAAAGCTTATTTAAGTACTTTCCTGTTTTCTTATCTCACCATCTCCCAGGCTGGCCTTGAGCTTGCTGGCCTGGTTTGGCTTCCTGAGTGTTGGATGGGGCACGGACCACATGGCCTGCTGGGAGAAAGCTTTCCAACAGGGCAGAGGTACGCTCCAGGGTTGAGTCCAGGCTTCCTCAGAGAGCTGCCTCCTTGACTCATCTCAGCTCTACAGGCCTGCATCTAAAGTGTGAGCGCACGCTTCTTGGTGTTCAGTGGCTTCCTTCTCATGGTCAGTCTTGGCCAGTACTCTGGCCTCCATGACCAGCACCAGCAAGAGCCATGGTTGGTATGTTCAGGGAAGGAGAGTTCTTGCCGTTCATACCACACCGATTAAAGTGTCATTTTAATTGCACAACTTCATTAGGCAGTAGGCAGTTGTGAGTCACAATGGGCTTCTCTTGTTTTCCACATCTCAGTTTAAAAATCAGATCATTTTTCTTTGTATGTTTTGTTTTTTTGAGACAGGTTTCATAGCCCACCTGGCCCTGACCTTACATCGTAGCTTGAATTTCTTCCTCCTGCCCATGCCTCTGAGTCCTGGGATTAAAGGCATGCACCACCATGGCCAGCTTTCTCCGGCTTTCTTAAACCTGGTTTTTTTTGAAAGGCCTCAGAGTGCCTGAGTCTAAGACAGCCTGGGCTTGACTTTCTGTTTCATTAAGTAACTGCCTCAGGTCCTTCTCTTCATTACACCTGAAGATCATTGGTCCTCTTTATTAAAGCTGTTGCATTGTAGACTCAGGAAAGGTTTCTGAAAAGAGTTTTTTGACAAGGATTTTGTGCTGGCTAGCTTTAGTGTCAACTTGACACACCTGGGTTGAGGGAGCCTCAATTGGGTAATTGCCTCTATTGGACTGGCCTGTGGCCATGTGTGAGGGGCATCTTCTTGATGAGTGATGTGGGAGGGCCCAGCCCACAGTGGGTGGTGCCACCCCTGGGCAGGTGGGCCTGTGTTGCATAAGAAAGCAGGCTGGGCAGGGGCCAGGGGAGCAAGTCAGTAAGCAGCGTTCCTCCATGGCCTGTGCTCCCACTCCTCCCTCCAGGTTCCTGCCCTGAGTTCCTACCTTGGGCTCCCAGATGAACTGTGACCCGGGATATGTAAGCTAAATAAACCCTTTCCTCCCCAAGTTGGTAGTGGTCAGAGTATTTTGTCACAGCAATGAACAAACAAACCAGAACAGATTTCTTGGTACTGTTTCTCAGTCATGATGACCCAGGTGGTCACTGCTGAGTAGAGCCTGGAGAAGGATGCTGCATCCTGTCCAAGGGCTTGCCATCAGCTCTGCTTTGGTCATTCTGAAACTTGTCATACAGGGCTTGACGCTCTCCTCTTAACATCAGGAGGTGAGGGACGCTGGTGCACTGCCATGTGACGTACAGAAGCTGCCCAGTCTTGGATGCTGAAGAACCTGGATTTGGTAGTTTGCATCTTGGCTCCCTGTTCCGTTTCTCTGGATTGCAGTCTTCTGCCCATAAATGGAGGGGATAAGGTTGCTGTGAGGCACCAGGAGAAGAAAGCTGCTAACAGGCAGAGGACATGTCACGGTCCTGCTCCAGATTCTGGAGTACTCAGCAGGGAGAGTCTCTGCAGAGATCTCTGTTCCCTGCTGGTCATGGCAGTGGCTGCTGTTCTCCAGCCGTTGTGCTTGTATCACACAGGCCTGTGAGGCAGTAGACGCACACTCCCATTGCACAGGGGAGCAAGCTAATGTCATAGTGTCACAGTACCAGCCAGGGCCAGCACACCTAAGCAGTTGGGCCAGGCATCTAGCTCTGGTTTAATTCTGAGTCTTGGTCTCTCCTTCAGTATAAAAAGAACAATTGTAGAAAATATAAAATAAACTTTCTTGTTTAACCACAAGAAGAAAACAATTAGAACAGCCATGTGCCCCAGAAAGTCTTAACAGCCTCTTCTTGTTCATGGGAAATAAACAGCCTGTGTCCCTTGGAAGCTCCCATCTTGGCTTCCAGCTTGCCTCTGGGTGACCTGGGCTTGGGGTGCTCAATTGCTTACCAGTAGGATGAAGGCCTGGTCTCATTTCAGAATTAGGTAAAGTCACATGTGTCCCCCTTGTGAAACACACAGTTCATGCTTCAGGACAGGGTCATAGCTCTGTAAGTACCCTTCACTGTCCTTCAGTTCAAAGGAGAAAACGGTTTATTCAGAGTGGCTTAGTGTCAGAAAAATGAAAGCAGATACTTAGTTTAGCCATCATATCCTGGTACAGGTAACGGGAATTTTAGAAATTTGGCAGCAAATGAAGTGAACAGTCCTTTGTTCTGTGGGCACACAGAGAAGAGTGAGCAGCACAGACACCCAGCGGGAAAGCCAGCTGTGACTCTTACATTGTTTTAAAAGGTCTGGGTACAGCATGCAGAAGGCCCCAGTTTATCTGTGGGAGCTTGCTTTGGGAGGTTGGACTGAATTTGCCTATCTCGTCCTCTCTGTCTTCTCAGTTCCCAGACTTGTCTCTAGAGAGGTTAATATATGCATACCTGCTCTCTTGGGGGCCTGTGTGGTGAGTTTTACTTGGTTAGAATTTCAATAAAAGAGAAATTCTGAGCCTTTAGGTCTGGTCCACTTAAGACCTTCGCCAGGTGTGTTCCTCCCCTCTCCGTTCCTCTCTCTCCCTCTTACAGAGAGTAGGTTGGAGGCACTAGAGCCTGCAGCTGCTTACTATAGCACCATCAGTTGGGTCTGGTCGCCTGTTCCTTGCCCTTGACAGTTTTAAAGAGTGGAGCCAGTGATTTTGTGGCCTGTGCTTTCACTTGCATTTATCTTTTGCTTCCGCC